GGTCGGACCCCGCCACTTCCTTGGGCTCCTTTCATTTATCTTCTTCCTCCAAAGCTCGGAGACAGCTCTTGTAATTGTCGCCGCTACTCCGCCAGCCTGTGGTAGTTCGCTAAGCAGCGACAAATACAATTTTTCAACAATTTGTAAGAATTTTGTACTTCACACATGAAAATTGAAATCTGAAGCTTGAGTAAAAAATTTTGACTGCCACAAGAAGTCTGAAACAGATCTTTAGCACGAAATCTGATCTCAGTATACTTCGGTGCGAAGTATTTTTAAAAGGCCTACCACACAGAGATGTATTTTGGAACAAATAGCATTTTCTGGAATCAGCAAATGGTGGTGTACTGCAAGTTTCGAAAAACGAATGAAATTGTCGTTGCTATCTCAGTAAACATCAACCGAACTAATTAAACGATGAACCATAGCAATGTTCCCTCTGTCCTATTTACAGTGCCATTTTCTTGCAATTTCCTATTTGCATCGAAAATAATCATAGAGTAAACAGAGTTTATTCTGCATTTCTTCAAATTTGTCTGCCACTTTTACAGAGTCGATGGATAAAGTACCTATATAAAACTACCAGCTTAAAAGTCCCAACAATTCCTTTGATTATTTAATTTTACCCCATGCCTTTCTTCAAAGTTACCGAATGTTTCTTTTTAAAAGAATTATAATATGAGTAAGAAAGCAACTAACCCCTGCCGGAAAGGTGAACAAATGTAACACCCAGAAGTTCAAATTTAGAAAATTACTGAAATTCCCTCAAAAGTGTGGAAGTAAACAGGTTTGAAGCGTTCACCTAATCATCATTCCAGCACACTTTCGCCTGATCACATGCTGTCGGTGATTATAATAGAAATGAGCAATAGCATAATTACAGCACAGTAAAAATCCATAACAAAGTTAGAACTATCGGTACAAGTCTTCAATAAAGAGATACAGAATGAGTTCTGTTAATAAAATAATTAAACAAAGCACTTCCAAGACGTAAAACTGATCAAAACTGTAAACTATCTGTTTTATCCATTTTGGTACAACAAAGAGTAAGCTCTCTTTCGGGAGGCAAAAGGGCAGATCCACTTGAAAGAGAAGTTTGTCAATTATTATGAGGATCGTGATTTTGACAATTATTATTATTATTTTTTGTTCAATTATCTTAGATCGGTGAAAAGAAGATTCTTCTCTGCTTAATACTGAAGCTATTCTTCTCTATTCAGTGTTGAAACTCTTTCAAATTTTCTGTATTGGAGCTATTATACAGGCGATTAAGAATTTTAACCGTGTTGTAAAACTTATAGTTAAATTGAGCAAATCTCGTCCTTCCCTGGGTTTCCCTCACAAACTGTCTTGCCTCATCCGTCTTCCTAAAAAACTCTTAATTTTGGTGAATACTGGCAGAAATTTAAGTAAAATAATACTGTCATAATCCGGCTGTCCTCTTTCTTAGAAATAGAATCACTCACTATTCGTTTCATCTAATGTTCTATAAATTCCCCCTAAAATTCGGAATAATATTCATTCCTC